GGAAGCTCTGTGGGGCAGTTCTACTCTGTCCTATAGGGTCGCTATGAGTTGGAATCGACTCAACGGCAACAAGTTTGGTTTTTTTGGTTTTAATTTCTCACAAAAAGAAAGGGATCAGAATCTTTATCATTAGCCAAGAATTAATCTCTTTGATCAGAACTTTATTGATATGTTGCCTTAAAATTGAAAAACAGTGAACACTGAGAATTAAGAACAGGCCTTTGCTAAAAAGAGTGCAATGAAATGGATACCCTCAAACTCGGCTGCTAATAGGAGTATAGATCGGTACCACTTTTCCAAAAAGCAGTTCAGTAAACTGTACCCAGGGCTTTAAAAATGTGTATACTCCTTGAACCACTAATTTCACTTCTGGGAGTCTAGCCTAAAGAAATAACTAAATGACTAAAGAATTTCCTTACAAGGATGTTCACTTAAGTGTTGCTTATAATTGAAAAATTTGGAAGCAACCTGTATGTCCAACAGCTTGGGAATGGTTCACTAAAGTACAATACTTAAAGAATAAAATAATAACCAAAAGGGCGGCTCCTGTCCAGAGGCAGGATGAGAAGGCAGGAAGGGACAGGAGCTTGATGGATGGATAGACACAGGAATCCTGGGGTGGAAAGGGGGAGTGTGCTGTCACATTATAGGGACTGCAACTAGTGTCACATAACAATATGTGTGTAAATTTTTGTATGAGAAACTAACTTAAGCTGTAAACTTCCGCCTAAAGCACAATTAAAAAAGAATAAAATAAAGCCATTAAAAATAATGTTTTAGAAGAATATAAAATGATATGGGAAGATACTTAGAAAGAATATTAAGTTACCAAAAGCAGCGTACAAAACTATATACACAGTATGATCATAAATTAAATATATGCATTAAAAGACTAGAATGAAATATTCTATAATGGTTATCTCGAGGATATAGGAGCATGAATAATATACAAAGAACATATACAACTTTTAAAATAAAAGAAATCACCTATCTTTTGGAAGTGGAGAGTGGTGATGGTAGCAAACCACAGTGAGTGTAATTAATGTCAATGAATTGTACTCTTAAAAATAGTTAAGATGACAAACTTTTTGTTACATATATTTTACAAAAAAAAATTTTTTTTTAAATCACCTAAAAACCAGAACTATTGACTTACTGATTGGTTGTTGGAAAGCTACATGAACCCTTTGACATCCTGAAATCACAGTAAACAATAATGTTCTGAATACAAGGATCCCAAGAGAGGTAAAGCAGGTCTCGCAGTACCCACTCGCTCAGAACAGACGGCATCCCATCTGCTGCACAAAGGACAATAGGCTGGGAGCATCTTTTTTTTGATAGATGATCGTACAGTTCACCAAAATACTTTCTCTTTCCACAAAATACAAATCTTTGGTGAATAAGAACAAGGTCATCCAAGAACCCACATAAAAAGAGTTACGGACCATTTTATTATTGTAAAGCATTTCTTTTCAATATACTAATTGTAAATATATTAATTTGTCACAGTGTTTATCTTCTGGACCATCTAGTAACCTATCATATTTTCCTATTTGTTCACTAAGAATTCAAAAAGTACAAAGAATTTTTCGGTGAAAAACAAATGGTGCCATTTCTTGACGACAACTAAATTTAAATAAATCCTTAAGGTAGAATACAAGCAAGAGATTCCATCAAACTAGAATTGATTAACATAGCCTTTCTCAGTAGACTAATCATTTATTACCCAGCTCTGTTAGGGTCCCTGGGTGGCACACAGTTTGCGCTTAACTACTAACTGAAAGGTTGGCAGTTCTAGTCCACCCAGCAGCACCATGGAAGAAAGGCCTGGCAATCTGCTTCTGTAAAGATGACAGCCAGTGAAAATCCTATGGAGTGCAGTCCTATTCTGAAATGCATGGGGTTGCCATGACTCAGAATCGACTTGATGGCAACAGGCTTGGTTTGGGTTGTATTAGTATGTAACGTGTGAAAAATTTATCAGTTACGGGCGGGCCAGATCCGAGGCAGGACAGCCGTGCGTGTAGAGCGCAGCACGTCGTGACTCGTAAAACTCCCACCAACAGTGCTGTCAGCTTGCACAGCAGCATGCTGCCAAGGCAGTGTCAGGACCAAATAGAAAATGAACACCCCAAAGCTCAAAGTAGAGTCTTGATTCTTAGAGGTAGTAAGGTTAACTGATGTGTTTGGAAAGCTACTTCTGGATCAGTACTTTTTAATGACATCCAATTCTATGAGCATTTGAATTTAAACACTTCAGAAGTCTTGTTCAGGGCCACATAAACCGGAGACTTCATCAGCTTGAGACCAGAAGAACTAGATGGTGTCCAGGTACCACCAATGACCGCCCTGACAGGGAACACAACACAGAGTCCCTGATGGAGCAGCAGAAAGTTGGGGTGCAGAACTCAAATTCTAGTAAAAAGACCAGACTTAATGGTCTGACTGAGACTGGAGGT